GAGGATACCAGACGATGGCTTCTCGCATGGGCCACTAGCGGAGGGGACAATAGGCAGCAATGACTGCCGGTCCCTAAATACGCTGCCACCGCTGGAGGCGAGACTCTGCTGTCGGAGACACGAGATTCTGCAGCTGGAGACACGGGACTCCGTTACCCTAGACGAGGGATCTGCTGTTGGCCGAGACGAGGCCGACGACTGAAGACACGCTGCTGATGGACACAGTACGAGCTGCAGACCAGACCGAGCTGCCGGACACACAGAAGGCAGAGCTGATGTACAAGCAGAAACAGTTACAGTAAACTATTATCTGCTATCCTGTCTGCCTTCCTTTCTTAACGCAGGACTGGGGGATATAACCAGTGTCGACGCAGGCACACCCAAGGTTATCAGAGCGACCCCCAAGGTTCGAACACACGACCTTGTTAGTTAGAAACCCAAAGCTCTAACCACTGCGTCATGATCTTGTTGACCTGCCGACTAATTTCAGAAATAAGCAAGTGCATTATATAGAGTAAACTGACCAAGAAATGATTTCTGTAGGACAAGGACCAAATTTAAATGAAAATATAAGCCGAAGACATGCAACTGTTGTGAAATAACCACGTAAAATCTATTTTAAAAACAAGTGGTACTACAAATAGTACATACTATATTATAGCAAAGACGTTATACCGTACTCCCGACATAGACACTAGCTTAATGTCCAGGCACGTGTTTCGTTAGTGTTTCTGCTACTGCATGATGCAACAGTGATGGACTCGGCTCTTCCGCGGATCTGTAGCGGGTCATGCCTGGCTGATTAGCTCGCGTCGAAGTGCACTTTCTCAAAAGCTTACCGATGCGGTTTCTCGAGGTTTCGATCAGCCAATCATAGTTCCCGCATCTATGAGGCGACGAATAGGGAGCTTGCACGCTTGCCCGACGCAAGTTGCCTCTCTGACCAAAATCTCCAGGCCGACCTAGCCAATGAAACCTCCCCTCTCTCTGTCTACTGCCCCGAGTTCTCTCAAACAGTCACTTGGGATCCAGTCGACTTCCTGAGCATACGGGCCCTCCCGAGTCAATCTACTTTCATCTATTCTCCTTTTCCTTGTGTACACAATACATTCTTCCCTCTACTCTGGACTTCGAAGACTTCTCTTCCGCACTAAGTTACCATGGTCTGAAGATCGCAGTTGCACGGTTAGACTCAACCCCCTGCGATAGATCCTCCCCCCAGAGTTCTCTATACCGTTTCTGATATATGAACTCCAAGGGAAGAAGTAGGCTAGCTTTCAACTAGTACCCATGTCGCGAGCACGGTTTAAGGTCTTTTCCATAGAGCTTTATATAACCAATGGTAGATAGGCGCTCACTGGGACAAGTGCGTTCCGTTATAGATCCGTGGGCGCCTATCTACGATTGTGCATATTCCCGATCGAAACTGCCGAGTCGGTAAACCCGTGGCGAAGGGGTTAGAGCGTTGAACCTTTAACTAACAAGATCGAACCTTGGGCGTCGCAACCTCTGCAGTTGGGTATGGCTGGCTGATGACGGCTGATAGGTCAGAAACGGCCATTTCTGTCTCCCTTGTATTTATCGGTTATGCATTTCTGCCTAGATCACGGGCTGCCTGTTGGTAGTTTAGTGAATATTAAGCGGCTATTTGTCATACCAAATGGACTTCGGCCCAAATATTAATATCAACTTTTGAGCCGTGCCTATAATGTTTAATTGCGACTCAATTACACGAAATAAGCTACTTATTTCGTATAAACTCAAAGGCAGGCATCCCAAGAAATGTTATTTCAAGGAAAGGCGTCCTTTGGGAA